CAGGCGTATTTGCTGACCCAAAATTAAATATCATATTCAGTTGCTAAAGCTCCAAATAAAATAAATTTCATAATGAATAGAGTCTATGGTATGCATGAAGCATAATAGACTAATCGGTTCCAAAGATAAAATTCCTTGAAGAAGGAGAGGAGCAAATGTTCAAGATGGTCATAATAAGGAGGCAAGTGCTCTAGAAGAGCACCACGACATAACACTTCATAAGACCTCATGGGAGAGGCTCAGGTACCTGAAGATAATAAGATAAAGAGATCTTAATAAGTTATGTCTTTATTGGGTAATAATAGAACAAATATAAAATGATCGTTGACGATATTGTTAATATAATGTAGCGCTCAATATTATTAATATTGACGAGAATCTTGAGCTCAAATATGTCATGAATATTACAAACGGGCTCTAAGTTACGTTCACCTATCCTAATATTACATACAAACACCAAATCACTATTTATTAGTATATAAGTTTTATTTTAAAAACACCAAAAAAGAACTTATGTATCCTCAAAAGGTACTAAATAGTTTAAAATTCAAAGCTTCACACCCTACTAAAAAGTTAATTGCAAGAATTTTATGATAGGTTTGATTAAATTACATTCACCTCTCCTAATATTACATAAAAACATTTAAATGTAAGACCAAATCACTATTCGTGTATAATACCCAAAGTAACATTGAAAACAAAGAGCTAAACGGGGCGGGGCAGGGCAAGGTCTAAATAGGGCAGGGAGTTACATGGAGCAGGTTAGGGCAGCGAAATTTTTTGACAGGGGAAGACTTAATCCGCCCCGTCGTACTCGTACCCCGCCCCATCCTGTTGCATCCCTATTCGGGAATATCATTTCATTCTAATATATTTTACAATACAAGAACATTATAATCAACGCCTATTTAAAAATAAAACAAATATGATAAATTGGAATCCATATATCCAACATCCCAATCTATCTCTATCTTCTTTTCACATAGAAGACTTATGAAATGATTCATGATATTGTCTACGTATATATCTTAAGAGATTCTTCTTGAACTTTGGAATCCATATATCCAACATTTTCAAATGTTCTTTAACAAATAGTCATTAATATTGAATCCAAAAGGGGTGAAAAGTTTTTCACGTTCCCACCTTACACGATCTGCTTTATACAAATATGGGAAATTCGTGACACTCCAAAAGCATTTTGTGCATCTCGATCTTACATTATAAGCCCAAAAAAACCTATGGGTACGTGGATTTATGTATAAATAACACCATCTCATAGGGAAAGCAATTTGAGTGATGTTAAATTTATAATTTGTACCTGGTTCAAGCCTTGCCAATCTGTTATAGGTGTCAAAATCTCTGCACATATAATAAATTGGGTCGGTATTGTCATTGGCTAAAGTTACCTCAATTTTGGGAAACATTGTCTCCATTAAATTGGTATCTTTTGTAGCATTTGAAAGAGGTAAAGAAAGGAAAATGTTCAGAATTACAAGGATGAAAAGAGGATAAGAGTTTGTAATGGTGTTGCTTTTCGCCATGATAATATTTTGTTTCTTTTGTCATGGCAATTCTTACGTTTATTGGCAAGAAAGATTATAAGGATTTGTGACTGGAAATTGATGGTTTTCCTTTGTTTTCGGGGTATTCGTGAAAGATTTTTTAAAAGGTGTGAGATTTGGATGACAATGTCATTTTTCATTCTCATTCATTTTTTCAAGTTTCTACTTAGATGGGAGGCACATATCATAGTTAAGAATTAAAAATAAAAAATTATTTACCTAAATCAAGCTCCTAATCATGGTTAGAATAACAAATACTTTCATTATTTGCTCTAAAAAGTTTTGGCAATCCCACTATTCTAGGCAAAAGATTATGAGCCCGTTTGGATTGGCTTAAAATAATTGGTTTTTAAGTTAAGTGTTGCAACTTGTTTTATAAAAAAACAGTTACGTGTTTGGATAAAAGTGTTGAAACTGAAAAAAAGCTGATGAAGTGTTTGGTAAAGAAGTGCTCATAAGCACTTTTTCTTGTTAAAATGACTGAAATATCCTTAAAGTTATCAACATTATAAAGAAGATGATTACTATAATATTATATTTTCTGTTCTTAGCTTCAAACGGATGATTGTTACATTTTTGTCTTGTGTGTTTGCTATTTTTTTGGGTTGGTAAATGGGAAGACAGATGAGCTATTGAGCCAATTATTTGTAAAAAGTTTCCTCTTTCTCATTCCAATAAACCGACCCTTTCTTTAAACTAATAAATCAACCACCCAAAAATAAAAAATTTAAAAACAGATCGCAACTAATTCATCTACCTTTAATTTTCCCCCCACTTAGATTGATAAAAGTTGTTCGAATATGTAAAAGTATTTTACTGAAAAATATGAGGGGTGCGTAAAAAAAGAAATGAAAGGAAAAGAAAAAGAGGGGAACATAATGAATGAAAGTGTAAAGAAAGAAAGAAAATGAAAAGAGAGGAAAGTTGTGGAAGAAGATAAGAAGAAAGCAGAGGCTGCTACAGCAAGAATGGAGAAAAGAAAAAGATAGTATATTGTGGAGTTTTCTGTTGAGGGGTAATTTCGGGATTAAGAAAAATTATAAGTGATAAGAATGTAATATACTTGGTCAAAGCAATATGACTTTTAAGCCAATTTCGAAAAATTGAGTTTTCCAATTTATTAATTTTGGCTTTTTTTAAATAGATCTTAACTTTTTTTAAACCCTTTTTTGGTTACCAAACACTTCCACAAATTTAAAAGTGTTTATGATTTTAAGCTCATCCAAACAGGTAATTCGTATATACATTCAAACAAGCTCTTTCTTTCCTACTTTATTACGAGCTCTTTTTTGGTTTATTTTTAAATACTTTTTCTTTTCTTTTTGGGTAAGATTTTTTTCGCAGTTTTTCTTTACATTCCTACCAAAAGAGAGAATCAACATCTAATGCTTAGTGGGACAACAACATCAAATTGAATTACGTATGATATTAAAATTTACAAGGAATAAAAAAGAATATTTGTAAAATTTAAATTAAAATATATATATGATGTTAGAATTTAAGCGGACCACTCATTGACTTGTTAATTGTTATGGGAAAAAAAAGTATTAAGCAGATTAATAAAAAAGGGAACGCAACAAAGAAAGAAAAGAAAGATTAGCTCAAAATACAAAAAATATGAATTTGAGACGAGAAAAACTGTTCAAAAAAATAAAACTCGTAATAAAGTAAGAAAAAAGAGAATTTTCTTAAATATGTATGGATTACATAATATTTTAGCTTAGAATTGTGGGGTGCCAAAAGTTTTGAGGGCAAATAAAGAAAATATTATTATCGCTTTGAATAATTAGATTTCAATCTTTAATTCTTAATTATGGCAGGTGGCTCTAGTCCAAATAATAACTTAAAAAAATGGAGACAATTCCCATATGAGATGGATGATCTTTTATAAAGCATATTTTTATCATTACGGAGTAAGTTTTTTTCCTCAACGTTTATAACCCGGCTAGTTAGGAATATTCCAAACAAATTATAGATTGGGAATAATCCCCATTACCGTACTAGTAGTAATAATAGGTACCATTAAAATTAGGCGAGAAGCTTATCTTCACTAACTTGTGATGTAGACAAACGGCCAATTAGCCCAATCTTCAGCCTAAAGTTCGTCCTTTGTGTTTCTTCTTCTAACTTTAGGTATACAAACAACAATTAGAGCCGTCAATATGAGTTTGGCATGTTGAGCTAGTTCAGTCCGACCCTTAATTTAATAGAGTTGTGTTATAATTTTTGGAGCCCATTTAAAAATAAGGCTTTTAAGCACAACTCGAGTAAGCTTGTGGTCCTTGAGGTTTTACTGAGGTTGGGCCGGCCCGTAAGCCTAACAAAAATATTTATTTGAAAAATATATAATTTAAGAAGTATATGCCATTGTAACATCGGAATCATCATTTAGCATTGGTGGACGTGTTCTTACCAAGGACTCAAATTGCATCCATCATGAAAATGTCCAAACACTAGTTACTACTCGAAATTAGTTGCACGACTTTTTCCAAACTGGTAATATTTTTTTTATGCGAATTTGAATATTATTAGTTTTTAAAATTTAATTATTCTTACAATTTAACTAATTAATATTGCATATGAATTGTAGATCTAGATGAAAGTGAAGATGTTAAGATAACCTTGTCACAAACAGATTCAAATATGTTTGATGAAGATGATGTGTTGGATATCCCATAAACATCACGGTGGTTTCTTTTGAATAGTTTATTTTTGACTTTTTACTTTTAGTTAATGAAATATAGTTTTGTCTTTTACCTTTTTAGTATTTATTGCGATATATTGGAACAGTAACAAAAATTATTAAGTTTTGCAAAAAAAATTAACTTTTAAATATTTATCTTTCTTTTAGGTTAGTACCTAAAGAAAAAATATAAAATTATATTTTTTTTAAAATGATGGGCGTGGGGGCCACAACTCACTTAGGGATGGAGTGGGCTAACTATTATAAGACCATCAAAATAGCGGGCTAGCCCAGCCCGTCAATTGCTAAAACCCATGTGAATTGGGTTGGACTAACCCTGCCCAACCCATATTGACAACTCTAGTCAACAATTTCAGTGAATAAGTCAACATTATTTGTAATTTTTGAGTTTAATTTGTATAGTATAATCCATGTTTAACCCCAGAAAAATAAGATAGGTAAAGGTAAATTACCACTTGATAGAGATTGAAATCCACTCTTTTGTAATGGGCCACTCATTTCTTGTAGGCTGTAGCCTTCTAACAATAGAAAACACTTTGAGCCCATACTCTTTAGGCTGAATATGGATCAAATACACACATTGGGTGGGCTGAAAAAGATGATTAACCCGTATATTTTCGGGTCAAATATTGGTTAGTCCAAAACCTGTGATAGTACCATGCCACCACAATCTGAATTCTGAAACGGAGATTACACAGAATCACAGGAAAAAGGTGAAAAAGTTAACTACAGTTATGGGACTCTCAGCTTCTAAGCGAGTAACTCGTTCACTCCAAAACTCGTCCGAGTTCAACTCGGCATGTGACTCAGTATACGACGATTGTCTCTCCCTATCACAGCACGCCTTCCCCGGAGTCAAACCCTACCAGCTCTTCTCCGCCGCCGAACGCCTCCACGTTTCTCTCTATCCCTCCGTCCCTCTCATAACCAACTGGGTCAAATCGCCTCCGACCCGATTACAAGTAGATAAAGCCTTTAAAGTCGTATCCACGCGCCTGTCCGGCGAGGAGAAAGAGAGCGAAATTGTGCTTGGGAATACTGAATTTAAGGAGTTCGCGGTGGAGGTATTTGCAGACGCTGCCGTTTCCGGGGCTGGGAAAGAGCTGTTGAAGCGGGTCCCGGTAGGTGCTATTGGAATTGTTGGTGTGGGTGTGGTGGTGAAGCCCGGGAAAGAATTGGTTGCGGCGGCAATTGGTGCTTACGCGCTTGGTGTTGCCACTTCGGTATACGTCAGCTTGGCTGGATAAAGTCTCACTATTTTCATTTTCTTTTTTGCTAGTTGAATCGGCAGAATCTATGTTTTCTTTTTCACAAAAGTAAATAAAAGTTGTTTTCCTGTCTTCTATTTAAGGAGATGATTCAAAAACTACTCTTGGCATGAGGATACTGTGTACGGTCAAAACCGATTCTCAATTATAAAGATCGATCGAGACAATGACGTTTCAATCGAAGGGTATCCACATGGCAAGCTCAGACGAATCCCGAAGTAGGGACGTCGAGCTTCGAGCTATAAGACCAATCAACGGCAAAACTCGATATCATTATCGAGCCGTATCCGAATCGGATTACGGGGCAACACTGATTGACACATGCCCTGAATATCGATGACCCAAGGCAGAACCGAGCTCGAACCAAGACTGGGGGTTCGATCTAACATCGAGGTCGAGCCAGTGCCAAGGTCGCAGACAAAAGCCGTTACAACCGCACCGAGGGAGAGAATCTTGGCGAGAATCAAGGAAGAGACAAACCATCATGGGTCCTCCACTATATGTATTATTTTATTATGTTGTTATAGATAAAGCAGTGACCCTCTACTATAAAAAGGGGATAGACCGCAATAGAGGCACGTCCTCCAAGATACATTAAGATTTCATTGTGCTTGTTTTTCTAATTCATTTCAGTCTTCCCGTCCATCATTCCCATTTTATAGTAAAAATACATGTATTGTCATTTTGTATCAAAGGAATTTGCATACCCTTAGAACCATATCTAAATTTAACATTATCCGAATTTTCGGGTAAACAGTTTGGCGCCCACTGTGGGGCTAAGGGTAACAGTGATTGTTTGATATAAATCTACAGTACACTCCACCTTACAACTTCAAATCAGCAATGGCTCTACCTATCGACCTCGAAGCCGACCTTCAAGATGAAACCAACAACTTGGCACCCGAGGCTTGAATCAAAGTACCCGAAATTCGAGCAGAAATATCATTGGATGTCATTTCACAAATAGCATTGGAGGCGAACCAGCGTTCCGAACCAGAAAGAAGCATTCAGGGTGGTACTCGATCCGTAGCCCGAGACACCCAAAATGCGGGGGGAATCAGGGCCATCTTACGTATGATTTTCGAGATGCTGCAAGCCCAACAAGTAGCGATAACTCAGCTACAGAGCCAAACTCGTGCACAAAGCAGGCCAGATTCCAATCCACTTCGAGAAGTCACCCCCAAAACACACCTCGCCATAGTGAAATCTAACGAGCAAGAATCGGGGACTACTCCTGGAATTACTAAATTGCTCGAGGAACTCACAAAACGA